CATGCAGATGTTCAAGGGATGATAATAAAGGATTTGAATAAAAATGCTGAAGATGAAGAAGGATGGCTCACAGGGATGACAAAATCAGAATTCAAAGAGGTTTCAACAGATTTAACTATGGAGAAACACTACCAATATGACACTAAATCAAGACTGACCAGAGTCCTGCACTTAGGTGGAAAAACGGGCCTGGCGAGGCATGATGGGGTGGAAGATGGGGGAGCAGCCACTGTAATGAGGAGACCCGCGAGCCCGCAGGCTGGCTGTGCTCCCCAAGGACAAGCCACTGCATTGCTGTTATTATTACAATGTGGCTTCAGAGCTGCACCATTTACATGGGTTTGATTTGTATCACCTTAACGATCAAAAAACACTATGGGGTCTAGGGAAGGAATTGCTGCAGTGAACTCTGAGCAAGGAGAGCCTGGATTGTTTGTTCACTTGCTGTCACCAGTTGTCAAAGGAATGTGCGCAACCTGGACGAACTCCTGATGGAAAACCCCAGCTCAGCACCAGCCTGTTCTAGCCACATGAACTTCTCGCCAAGCCAAACCTCAGTTTCCTCAGCTGTCCAGTAGGAACACTAGCTCCAGCCCACAGCTCGGTCTTGAAGAGTCAGTGAAATCACAGCTGTCACAAGCCCAACAGAATCTTCACAGAAAAAAGACCAGCGAGCAGTGTTAGAGCTCAGCCCTCCTTGTCAGTTCTCCACGAGTGAGTGTCCATGCTGTAGGCCGGCTGGACCCCAGGTGCAGCCCCTCCGGTCATCACCCTCACTCTCGACTCCCCCACACACCACACCACACCACACCACACCACACCACACCACACCACACCACACAGGGCACCTCAGTCGGGACACACCAAATAAGCCAGCACACTGGCCACCTGCCCAAGACAGGTCAGGGACAATGTGCAGCCCTCAAAGCTCGGGATTCTCACGTCTACAGGTCTCCTTAGTGCCTGCCCCTCACGAAGAGCAGGTCTGCCCACCAAGGGGGTCAGTGTTATAAGCTCACCTGGAACTTAGAACCTAGAAAGAAAGTCAGACCAAAAAAAATGTATATATACAGAGAAAGAAACACATAAATTAATCATTACACATGAGTACCACAGAAAAACTGAATAACAGAATTCAATGTAGGGTCTCCAGAAGGGTCCCGGAAGAAAGGGCCTGTTAGCTGAGCATGGCAGGATGAGAAATGCCCCTCCACTCAGGCAGCTGCATGGTCCTGGGGAACCAGAGGGCCCTGAGAGGGAGGTCCCTGAGAAGGGACCCCCCCAACTCCCAATTACACCTTACTCCACTGTAATTCCCACAGGAGTCTGCCCTGAGCCCCCAGCTCTGCTCTCCCCTACCCAGCTAATGACATGCCCCCCTCTCAGAGCCGGCTCTGCTAGTTGGGTCCAGCACTCAGAACAACCAGCTTGAAGAACCTGCCAGGTCAGAAACACACCTGGTCCTGCTTTTGTGTACTCTAAGCTTCTGGAAGGCGTGGAACATCCCAGAGCCACCCCACCCTGGGCCTTCTGCCCCCCACCCACTCGGAGCTTCCAGCAGTCCCGGAGCAGGGGAGGCCACAGCTGGGGCAGGCAGAGTGGACTGGGCCCCTGGGGGGTCCAAGTGCTAAGACTGTCCACCCCACTTTCTCTTCCACACTGCCTATTCTACATGAGGTGACAGCATAAGAGGAAGGACAATGACAGGAACAGACACCTCAGCAGACAGAAGGGCAGAGACAAAAATGAAAGGCTCTGAAGGAGAGAGGAAGGAAGCACAACAAAGAGAAGGAAAAAGAGAAACGAGAAAAGCAGTGGGGTGGAAGCAGAGAAAGGGATCAAGATGCTGGACAAAGAGAGATAAAGTGCGGGAAGCCGAACTCTGGAAAGACAAGCAAAAGCCAGGGCGCTCAGAAAAGGGTGGGCAGGAACTCCAGGGAGGAAGGTTTTCCCGAGTGAGCCAGTGAGGAGGAGTCCCCAAGGGGCGGGGCGTGGGGGACCAGCAGAGACCCACAGACCATATTTGTTTGACTGGGTCCCCACAGCGAGAAGGTCGCAGAAGCCCCTAAGGATGGGGGGAGGGAACACTGGAGAATGTCCTCCCCAAATCTACATGCATGGGGCATCTGCCAGTGGGTGGGGCCGTGGCTGGCCTGGAATCACAACAGAATTTGCCTGTGAGAAATCTGAATGGTAGGCAGGTTACAGCAGCATGAAGACGCTGGCATCTCCCACTCTGCATCAAATCTCCCAAGACCAGGGTGGGAAGAGCCTCCCGGGCCAGAATGGCTGCCTCTGAGCACCGGCCCTGAACTCTGCCCCATACACAGGAGGTGGCCCTTGGTGGTCTCCTCCCCACTGGCCCTGGAGACTCAGAGCCCATAGGAGAAAGAGGTGGGGATGAAGTGGACCATGACCCCGAGGTGGGCGAGCCCATAAAGTGCCCACTTTGACCTGTGCTATGAGTGAGACTGGCAAGCCCTCAATGCCAGGTTGGAAAGGAGTGGCTGTGGCTTGGGCAATGGGTGCGGGGAGAGGCCATGCTCAGCACCTGAGGGTGCCTTTCCTAAACTCCCTGTCTGAGTTTGAACAAATCATCTGCCCCCTTTGCATTCGGTTTCCCACAACGCTTTCAGTAGATTAGTGTTCTGTTCTGGAACCAACTGGAGTTTCATCTGGAGTCTTGTTCTCCCAGCTCACAATGTGGAAGACAGTGGACAAGGAACACTCCAGACCCTTTGCACCCCGAGTCCAGGGGACCCTGAGGATGTATCCCTCCTGCCAGGGGGTCCAGCCCACCTGCATGCACTTGGTGGTCACAAGGCTCTCCCCAGCCTGACCCACACTCCCTAGGCAGGGGGTGCAGGTGCCCAGGGGTGCCCTCCCGCCTACAGGAGTAAGAGACAGCAGCAATGATGGCAGCAGCAAGGAGAATAAGGACTCGCTGCTAGCTGTGGGGGTGGTCACTGAACTCCATCATGAGGCCTCGGACCCTCACACGCTTTAATTCACTTCATCCTCACAAGAGCCCTCTGAGAGGCTGTTAGTGTGAACATCACTTGGAATAATTCAGGGAAAATTTCTAGGGAGAATTCCTCAATCCCAAGGCCTCAGAGGCAAACGACACGGAATTTCCACTGAGAAAGCATTTGCCAGCTGCGTATTCTGGTTTTACCCCGATAATATATTTAAGATGGATGACAAGTAAATGATTCTGAGAAGGCAGTCATTCAGAGCGCGCAGTACTGCTGTCCTGAGGGGTCGTGGAGAGGGCCGGAGGACATCAGGAGTCCAAAGCGCCCTCCAGAGCCCAGCAGCGCAGGGGAAGGCAGTGTCCATGAGGCCTGGTGTCTGAATGAACGGCAGGACCCCCTGCTTAGGAGGGGCGCAAGCAGGGCCAAGAAATCTAAAGAGCGGCTTTTCCAGGGGGCCATTTCTCAGGACCTCACTAGTCGGCCCCTTTGGCTACTGCATCAGGAGGGGCCTGCCAAACTCATCCGCCGTCATCAGAGCAGGAGACACATGCGGGAGCTTGGGGATGTTCCCTGGCAAATCTGTGCCCAGCCCCCTGCACAGCCTCCAACCCACAGCAAGGTCAGGGTTAGCCAGAGTCTCCATGGAATCACGTCCTGTCCATTTGGGGTCACCACCTGGCGTGTGTGTGTCAGAGGCCCTGGGCCCCTGAGCCTTCTGGATAAACCAGTCCCTCCCCGCTGACATGTCCAGGTGGCCTGGGGCACGTGAGAGACGGACAGAGTGAATCTAGAGATCAGAGACACTGTCTTTGTTTATTTTTATTATGGTGATATGCTTCCTTGAAGGGACGATGGTGACAGTTCACGAGGATGTCAGGGTCACAGGCACAGTCTTCAGAAAGCCCAAAGGACTGTATACAAGGTGAGGCTGTAAACTTGCTTTGTTGTAAGAACATAAAACACTCTAAAACCAGACACAGCAAAAATACCCAAGTTGTGAGAAAAACAAGCCCAGGTCTCTGGCTCCTTCTATCCTCCCCCCCTTCCTTCCTAGTCCCTTGATTCCAGATCAGGAAAAACAGGACAGGCTCCTGAGCGCCCAGGGAACGTGTGTCCACTCCCTGACTGAAAAGAGAGATCCCCTCTGGGCAGGACCAGCCCCATGACCTCAGATCCTTGCCTGATGTCCCGTATCCGGCCTGGCAAAGTCAGGGAACAGGCGGTGGGAGGCTTGTGTGGACACAGCTGGGCTGCGCTCGGAGCTGCCCTCGGGCTCTGGGAGGACAAGGACACTGGATCCTACAGGCGCAGCAGCCATTGCAGACAAGCGCCAGAGCCACCTCTGGGCCTCCAACTGGGAACCAAGGCGACAAGGGGAACGCCGGCGGGATGGGGGGCTGCCAGGCGTCCCCAAAGCAGGGTGACAGAGAAGAGCGGAAAGGGACGCAGAGACCCAGCCCACTCGCTCGCTGGCTTAGTCACCGTGTGGCTATCACAGCAAACCTACAGGAGTCCAGGCGTTGCTGAGGAGCTGAGGACACAGAGACATGATGCCGGCACCTTCCCACCCAGGAGGAGAACAGACTCGTGGTCGGCAGCCCCGGTCCTGAGCGAGGGCCGCTTTCACAGACAGGGAGTCGCTGTGCCAGCACAGAGCAGGGGCTGGGCCAGTGCAGGGGCCGGGAGGGGCGGGGCGGCCGCACTCAGCAGGACGGGCACTCTGGGCACGCACGGGGCACAGCCACAGAGGCACCAAGTCCGCAGGGCCAAGCCTCGGCCCGCCTGGCGAGGAGGTGTGTGCCCGGGGCAAGATGGGCAGAGAGCACCGGGGCCAGGCTCAGAGGCCTGGGGGTGCCAGGCTCCCCCGTGTGAGGGGCCCCGGAGGGTGCAAGCAGGGGAGGAGCACACTAACCTGGGGGTGGTGGGCGGGCAAGATGGGGCTGGCAGGGAGGGGCAGGAGGTGGGGTGTCAGAGTGAAGGGGGACAGGGGAGGGGGCAGCAGGCTCAGAAGGAGCAGGGGCAGCCTCAGTGTTTGAAATGAGGCCAAGACTTAATGATGTCGTACAGGGCCTGCCCAGGAGACAGGGTACTGATCACGTCCCTGTGCCCCACCAGGAGGTAGCTGGGAGTCAGGTACCCCTTGTCCACAGCACATTCGATCAGGTCCTGGGCTGCCTGCAGCGCTGCGGCATTTGGTGGCCTTTCTGCAAAACAGTCACCCCATCGGTCAGCAGGATCTCCAGGGTCCCGGAGCAGCAGAGAGAAGCACCTAAGTCCAGTCCCTCGGCACCCTCCCACCACCACCCTAGCCAGCAAGTTCACAGACACTGGGGCAGCCAGGCACAGAGAGAAAATGAGTCCCGTGTTCCCTGATGGCTCCCTGTTACACTTCTTTCAGAAAGTTAAAAACTGCTCTGGACAGAGCGTCACAACACACTCCTCAGCAGGGGCTACGAGGCTGACATGGCCTCTGTGACTTGCACTGTTTGCCACAACGGGCTGTGGTGCTCCCTGGCCTTATTGCAACGGTGACCCAACAAGAAAATGCATTTGCCATCAGATCCATAAAAGGACCAAGTTTGCAAAAGCTATTTTTCTGTCCAGCTCCACACTTACCTTGGGTATGGCTACAAAAGAGGGAGCTGAGTAGGGAGACAGGTGTTATAGCTGCTAGGGACTCCCCGTGACATGCATCCTACTTTGAGCCCACTTTAAAATTAAAATGTTCCACTGACACTGGCAGGATCCATAAAGCTGCCGCTTTCCCCAAGCCCCCAGACGTCCCACGTGAAACTGTCTCGCCCAGAGACCCCATGTTCACCCCTTACCCATAAAGTTGCCCATGAAGGCAATTCCCAGGGCAAAATCATTGTGTCCGTAGCTGTGGCTGCCTTGGGTATTCCAGCCAACTCCTTCATACACACCACCATCCTCACCCACCAGGAAGCTAGGAGGGAAAAGTGTAAGAAGAGAAAGTCACTCTGGAAAGCAGAATTGGCTTCATTCACTCCTCAAATCAATTCACTCTTTCACCCATTTATCAAATGTTGATTGAATATCTCTTATGTGCCTGTGTACATGGAGATCAAAAAACAAACAATAAACCCCAGTCCCTAAACCCTTGAAGTGAAGACATACAATGATGAGAGTTGCTAACAGGGACTTCAGTCCACCACAACATGGCCTTCCCCCGCAGTGAGCGACAGAGGCTGACACCCCCAAAGCAGCCAGAGGCCTCCTTGACATTAGTCCACCAGGCACGTAGTTCTGTGTTACATGGACCTGGCAACGATTCTCTTCTTGAAACAGCCTCCTGCCTGGCTTCCACAAGCTCACGCCTGCCGATTTCCCTATACTTTGCTCCCCTTTCAGGTCCCTCAGCCATCCCACCTTCCTCTCCTCAGCATTCTGGTCTACCCTTCCTCTCTACACACTCAACACATTCCTCCTGAACAATCATCCACTCCCACAGCTTCAATTCCTACTTATTAAAACCAACCTGACCCAACAAACCCATTTCTTCCTGTAATTTCCCCAACCAGAAAACTACACGTCATCCTAAAATGCCTCCCTCTCCCAGCACTTTCCAATCGTTATTCCTGAATTTTCAACTCTACCTCCCACTTAGCCTTTCCAGTCCACTATTTCTCTCAATGCCAACTCCAGAGCACTGCTCCAGGTCGCCCTTACTGACGTCTGGGTGGTTGCATCAGCTCCTGCCCAAAGAATTGCTTTTTTGAACCCAATCCAGTGTTAAAATAGCCACAGTGGTTCTGCTAGAATACACACTCCATCATAGGCCAGGGCCTTCCAAATAACCTCCTGCTGATTTTCTAATAGAGTTAATCTCCCAGGATGAACTCCAGTACCCCCTGAGAAGCTCTTGTTCATCTCTTCAGCCTCACTTCTCATTATCCCTTTCCAAAATCGGTACTGGGGTATGAATCAAACTTCCTGTGGCCCAGAGATGTGTTCTTCCTGGCCCCGGGCCCTGCCTATGCCACACCCCTTTCCTGGAGCCGTTCTTCTCCTCCCTTGGTGCCTGACTTTTGCCCACTCCTACTCCCAGCTTGATGCTGCTCCCCCCAGAAGCCCTTCCCAGACACCATTCACTCCTCCCAGAGTTTTGTCAGATGAGAGCTGCTAACAGGGACTTCAGTGCACTGCAACATGGCCTTCTCCCTCCTAAGCTGACGCCCCCAAGGTCCTGGGCCTTGTCCAACACAGCGACATGCACACCGTGAACTGTCATCATTTGCTCACTGTCTTCTCTCTCATCTCCACAGCGGCGGAACTACAGCCATGTATATTTTGCTGGGCACAGGCACAGAGCAGATACCCAATAGGTATTGGTTTAAAAAATAGAAGCTGGCGAGTGGTGGGCACTCTCTTAATTATGGTCCAAGTCAGGGTTAGAGGTGACACATAGGAGGCCAAAGTGGGGAAGGAACCCCTGAGGATTTCAAAAGTCAACAACACTCATTGGTGCACACCTAAAATTTATATAATGCTATAGTGCCATACTGTTTCAATAAATATTAATTAACAGGGGCCTCCCTGGTAACCTAGAGGCTAAGGCTCTGCCCTAACAGCATGACGGCCCACCAGGACCTGAGTTTGATCCCCAGCTAGGGAGCTGATCCACATGGCTCAGCAGACCTCCCCTGTCTCTCCCGATGCCCCCTCAGCAGTGTGTTTCAGTAGATCCACCTGTTTTGTCCCCACTCTGTCTCTGGTGATCCCCTCATCCCCTCATCCCTTGATCTACACCCCAGTTCTTCTACACAAAAATAAATAAAATCTTCAAAAATAATAATAATAATAAAAGTCAAGAAACAGGGATTGAGACCCTTAAAACTGAATGCAACAGCAAAAGTAGCATTCCCTCATCTTCTGGAATTTTCCACTTAGAATTTCCAAATTTATAGTTAATTTTCTATTTTTCTGTACCAAATAGTCGCAGTGAAGTCAAAGTGCAGCGATAACTCTCCCATTTGTAAAAGCTATTTTTAAAATGGAAGTTGAGGAGAGGGGCAGTCAGCCAGAACAGCACAAATGCACATACAAATTCTCCCAAAGTGGGAGAGTAAGGTGGGCTGCGATTAGGACATAGATGGATAACTGAAACTTACTGTACTCTATTCCAAAGTCCTTTCTTTGAAAATCTGAGGTCTCTACCAAATAGTTTCTGCTTTTCCATTAGCTTCATGTGTCTCTTTATTATCAACCTGGCATTAAAGGAGCCCAAAGAGAATGTTTTGATTTTACTGTCTTCAAATAAATAAGGTATTATTGTCCCTATTATCCATTTTAAGAGTGGATTGGGTTGGAAAAGGCAACCCGCTCACAGAGAGCTATTGTGGTGACCAACACAATAGTTGAGGGTACCTGGAACAGGTACTGGAGTTGGCATTAACAAAAATGGAGGCCTTGAAAGGCTATGTAAGAGAGAGAACTGGAAAAAATCATGAACAACAATGGTCTCTGTTATTGTCCCTCTTGTGGAGATGAGACAAAAATAGGCCCACAGAAATTAAAATTCCCTGTATCTATAAAATGGCAAGTTTAGGATTGGGCCAGAAGCAAAGAGGGACTGAACAGGGCCTGTGTCTTGGGGTGGCGGGAAGGGATTACATAAAAATGCAGGACCTTTTGATGGCCTTCCACAAGGGTCTCCCAGTCTTGCTCCATCACAGCTGCTTCTGAAGTCTTCTTGTCAGTCTGCCCAACCGCCCATAAAGAATGTGCCTAGAACAACCCTTTAGGTATACTCTGAATGATATTCTGTCCAGTGACTTACAAGAATAAAGTGTAGCATCTAATATAATATACCTAGCACAAAGGAAGGGCTGAGAAAACATAGCCTCTCTTCCCTCAGCCTCCCTCATATGGCCCTGAAGAAAAGGCAGGCTATGCTTCTATCCATCCCACTTACTTATATCCAATGTCACAGAAGTTCCTGGAGTCCATGTGGTAGGATTGTAGATCTCGGACATAAAGCTGGCAGTCCATGGACACCGTGCAGGGTAACCCAACCGTGTGGATGATGATGACATATTTGGCAGGCAGTTTCATTTTAGGACAGTGTGTCTCTCTGGCTTCCCAAGTGGACCGCGTGATGATGTTGGGGCAAGCTATGGGGAGGTGAAGATCCAAGGGAAGTCATCTATACCCACATATGGACATCTCACAACTGCAGGCCTGGTGACCCCCTCACCAACAAACGCCACCCCAAACTCCAGCACAGCATGACATGAACTTAGTTGTGGGATTCTGGGAAAGCCCAGATAGTGATCACCTGGCTCAAGGGACTTGAACCAAAGAACAGAGTCAAAAATCTACATTAGTGTAGCAACTGTGAAAACTGTGTATGAGCTGAAGGGAAAGGACTGTTGGTCATACAGAGGGACAGCCATTTTATTCAAGAGATGGCAGAGACTGACGTGCTTGAATAAGCCTCACAAATATATGCAGGTCCTAATACATATGTATCAGGTCCAACATACAGAAGTCACTGGATTCTCTGTCCAAGGAGAGAAACACTTTGAAGTCTATAAAGAATTAAATAATTGTCATTCTTAGAAATAGAACCATCTGAAAGCAAGAAAAGCTGTATTTAGAGACATACAATTTTAAAAAACTTAATTTAAAAATACCCTTGAATCCAAGACAAGTTTTGCTTGAGCAGAGAGAGTTAAACTACTGAAAATGAGGCCCTCCCTGGTGGCGCAGCGGGTTAAAGCAC